TTTTAGTTAGCTTAAAAAGTTGTATTTAAAATCAAATTAAATTTTTGTTTCTGCTTTGCATTTTCCCACAGTCAATACAGTGCTGCTGATGAATGGCAGCTCTTCGAGGCTCTTAGTATTGCAGCCGGTGCACAAAATGTTCCGCTTCCAGCGACAATGGCCAATATGTTCTCAAGTTGGTCGCAACAATCTAGTTACCCACTTCTCACCGTTACACGTCATTATGAAAATAACTCATTCACCGTTACACAAGAAGCTTTCTACGATAATAGCACCACAACATCGAACCAGACTTGGTACATTCCAATTAATTATGCACACAAATCAAATCCAGACCACCGTAACACTACCGCCTCGCATTATTTGTTGAAGACAAAAGAAATTCACATCACCGACAACAATTTAGCCGCTGATGATTGGCTGTTACTGAATAAACAGTCCACCGGTTTCTATCGCATCAATTATGATGAACGTAACTGGAACCTAATTATTGATGCGCTCAAATCCAATCCTTACAGGTTTCATCCACGCAATCGTGGTCAGCTTATTCATGATGTCTATAAGTTCAGTTCAACAGGGCGTCTCGACCAAAGTACACTCTTCAATTTGCTACAATATCTGCCTAATGAAGATCAATTCGCTCCTTGGTCTACGACATATTCGGTGATCAACACATTAAACAGATATCTGAATGGGGATAGTGATTATAAAAATTTCCAAAGTTTCGTGGCCTCTTTAGTATCAGACCTCTTCGATAAGTTGGGTGTGAATGATGCAACTGGCGAGCAACATCTGGTGAAATCTATACGTAGTATCGCCATTAACCTCGCCTGTTTGTCAGGCATTGAAAGTTGTCTAGAGGAGACGAACAACAAATTAAGGGCGCTCATTGAAGACGGCATCGCAATCGAACCAAATCTACAATCGCAAATATATTGCAATGGTCTACGTCAGTCCGATGATACAGTATTCGATTTCGTGTTTAACCAGGTATTGCAGTCCAATAATCAGGCATTCCGTCGCACACACATCACTTCATTGGGCTGCTCGCAGTCGGAGTCCCAATTGCGAAAATTCGTAAACAGCTCAATTGATACGTCCGCCGATTGGCGTACTCAAGAGCGCATCACTTTACTCAGTGCAGCGTACTCGAGCAGCAGTACCGGATTGCTGGTAAGCATTGATTTCCTCAGCGAAAATTGGGAAGCATATAGTAATTTGAATCCCGGTTTCGGTGGAGATAATCCACTCAATACAGCCGTGGTTGCCATGTCCAGCTATGTAGTTAATGAAGAACAAAGACAAAAAGTGAGTAAGACGTTGTATAGCAACTTTTATGAACCAAAATCAATATTTTTATATACAACTTGTTTTAAATTTCTACAGTATTTGGATTTGGTGGATAAGGTGAAGGACAGCGATAAGGTGCAATCTAATTTGGAGACTGTCGTCAATACGAACATTAGATCCAACGTTGAATGGTTGACCAGAAATCGTGATCCGATCATGCAGTGGGTGAACAAATTCACGCGCAGTGGCAGTGCCGCACTCAGTGCTTCATTGTTAACCGTCTTTACCACGCTGACGGTTGCATTGGCGCGTTACTTGTAGAACTTGAGCTTAAAGCCTGCTAGCTCTTACCAATTGTGATGTGATAAATTTTTGGTGGAACATTTTATATAACAAAATTGAAGTAGAATAAAGAAAAACAAACATAAAAACTATTACAAAGTAACTTAATCTCGATGGAATGAAGTCCGTGCCCTTTTACGCAAACTTCTAAGCTCTAATAGGGGTGGGCTTTATGTTCACCTCGAGCTATGGGTATTCTAAAAAGCTTCGAGTTACTGCCGATTCGAAGAGCCCACTGCACGNATTCGCCTCGAGCTATGGGCACACCAGTATTCTAAAAAGCTTCGAGTTACTGCCGATTCGAAGAGCCCACTGCACGCCGCTTGTGGATCCGAGGGGATCTTTAACCACCTGTGGGTTCTGTAAACATATTTAGGTGGAGGGTATCTGCAATAGAGGAGGCTTCAGGTTGGTTGTTCTCTAGTGTAACACCTTTTAAAGAGGTTGAAATCTATTTCGACAACCAAGCAGCTATCAAGGCTCTTGGCTCCTTGTTGGTTTGTGGGAAAACGGTTAGCGATTGTTTGACTTCCTTATCGACTGCATCGGATAATTACGCTATTAAACTCATTTGGGTTCCGGCTCATAGCGAAATCGCGGGTAACTGCATGGCCGATGAGCTGGCAAGGCAGGGAACCCTTGACGAATTGTTCCCGGTAAGAGGAGGCCTGGAAGTCCCTGACCTCGTGCGGTCTACTTCNATAATTACGCTATTAAACTCATTTGGGTTCCGGCTCATAGCGAAATCGCGGGTAACTGCATGGCCGATGAGCTGGCAAGGCAGGGAACCCTTGACGAATTGTTCCCGGTAAGAGGAGGCCTGGAAGTCCCTGACCTCGTGCGGTCTACTTCTGGACAGATGGGCGATAAGTCAGCTTAGCGTGCGGTAAGCGAAGTTCTTGGAATGCAAGGTGGTTTAATCTTTCTGGTCACGTGTAGTTTGGGGCGGCCAAGGAAGCAGGTTATATATGGGAGTTCTAAGTTCTGCAGTAAGACTGAATATCATCGATGACCCTTAGTGCAACAGCTCCATGGAGGATGGTGCGGTAGAATCATCTTAACACCTGCTGTTCTGGTGCCCTGCCTTTACGATACTAAAGTTCTAGCACGTCGGGTCGCATTTCTTCCATACTCCCATTGAGCTTTCGCGTGTAAAGCTTCGTGGTGAGCACGGTCATCGTCCTGTTCCTTCCCCCTCTGTTTCTATCCTCTTGCTTACCCTTTCCAGCTTTCCTGTTTTAAACGAGTTCAAAAGAACTTTTCGACGCAATACCCATTATCCTGAGTATCGCTGAGTATTATAAAGTGTGTGACTTTTATAAAGACTTGGACTTCACTATGCATACCTGTTCAGGTAGATTATAGAAGAACTTTGAAATAATTTCCTTTCAAGACTTTACTACTTAAATATCTGCTAAAGTGGAAAAATCTATATTTTTTGTATTTAAATTTTTTTATCTTCCTATTGAACGGCATTTTTTTTTTGGTAGCACATTCTACTAGAAAATTATATGTGCCGCTGTTAATACATAATAATTAATAGTAAATATGTACACCGGGTAATTTTGTAAAACATTTTCGTTATGCGATAGTTGAAAATTTTACTATTCCGCCACTCGAAAAGGACAAATTGGCTTATCTCTGTAGCAAAGGTAATAAAGACTTACCCTTTATTATCTTCTGATATTTTTATTACAGCTACATAGTTCGCTTGCGATTTTTACCTGATTGTGAAATTAATGCAACATCGACACGTTTGCCAATAATATCTAATAATAATAATTTATAATTCCTTATCGGAAATATTGATAACAACTAGTATCCCAATCTAGTTATTAAAGAAATAATATTTGTGTTTTTACCATACGTGACCAATTTTAACACA